GATTGATTTTTGTGAGTTGGAAGGAAAGTTAATCCATCCACTTTTTCATTCTTCCTATTTTTCTTCCTTACCAAATATGATGTTTTATTTATCCCTTCAACTTTCCATCTTTCTATTTTTTCATCGTACCAAATGGAACATAATAGCAGTTGATCCATTATATTATGGTTGTGAAATGTAAATGTTAGTACTAAATGGAAGGGAATGCTTGCTTTTGCTTAAATCAACAAACATGCAAATATTTTATTATGGTTAAATAGTATTTTTCATCATTAAAGTATGTGCAATTTGTTTGTTTATTCTTTATTATATGAATTTTGTTAATTTGATTTATAAAGTATTGAATTATATTTGGCCACCCAATTGCTGTTTTGGTGGATTTAAAAAAAAATTGTTGTTTCTGGCGCCTGTGTTGTTTTGCACAAAAAATTACAATTTACGGAGATTTAGTGTAACGTTTTATAGTTGAGGGAGGTTGTCCACCAAATCCTTTAAATACAAGAGTTTTTTTGTTGGCATTTAACCTTCGTCATCTGTCAAGCCTGATGAGCCCAAATCTAATTGAGTTAGGCTCAATAAATCAAGCAAGTTCAAGTCAGTTAAAAGGTAGTCCAAGCCTATTTTATCAATCCGACTCAGTCTAAGATCCAAGTAGTCCAAAAAGATAAGAACACGTATGAGAGAGATTATCGAGATACGCACTCACGAAGATCAATCCTACTTTAATTGTATTTACCTTTTGTAACTATCTTCCCCGAAGAAATAGTATTCTCACACTCACGTCACCGTCTCACCATACTTATAAATTATAAGCTCTCTCCACATAGAAAGACATATCTCTCAACACACCTTGACACCTCTCTACACATAGCTTTTCTCGCTCCTAACTACTGTACCTCTCCCGGAGCACACACTTCTCGGAGCCTTCTCTCTCTTACTTTATTCATCAATAAAGACCTCTCACCACCACTGCCATTTTCTAAGAGTGGATTAGGTTATCCGGACCGAACCACTATATATCTTTGTGTTAACTCAATATTTACATTACTGTCATTGATTGTTTTATTTATTGTCTATTAATTACACCTTATTAAATCTTGCACGAGACCAATTTTGTGCATTATCAAAGCCTATGGATTGTTCCTCTCCACCAAGCTTAAATTTGAGTGACTTAATTGATCAAAGCATTCTTCATTATAGTTTCAATATTATACATTATAGATTTGATGCCAAAAAGTTGAGCCACCCTCCCCTGAATAACACACTTTTTCTTTGGATGGAAAACCTACTTTAAAGCATAGCCCAATCATGTTTAACTTGGATTTAGAAACCAACCATTGAGTGTGGATATAGCAAAGTGGAAAAGACTACAACATTGATGACAGTATTTTATCGAAAATTATAAATTTTTATCATTAAATTTTTTTTTTTGAGATGTAAGTTATAACATATAAAAACATTAGTTATTGTCTGTGCCTGAAGGCACAAAATAATAAAAAATGGTAAACAATAAATAAATTTGTATTCATATTCAAAATTAAATCGCAAACATAGAGAAGAGATAAAAAAATTTAAACATCAATTTGTAATGAAGGGTGAGAGATAATGGGTGGTAGTGGTGGTGGTAAGAAACAGTAACAGTTGTGGTGGTAGTGGCGACGACGGTGGCGGCGGTGACGGTGATGACAGTGGTGGTGGTGGTGACGACGGTGGTGATAATAGCGATGGTGGGGGTAGAGGTGGAGGTGGAGGTCGTGGTGATGGTGATGGTGGCGGCGGTGGGGTGTGGCAATGGTGGAGGTGAGGGTGGTGGCGACGGTGGTGTTAGAGATAGTTAGAAATGTAAAGAATCCGATATTGAAAAAGTTGAAAGGGAATGTAAGGGTTTAAAAGGAGAAAAACACCAAAATTTATAAATTTGGATGGCGGAAAGATTTGGAGGGAAGCTCCAAATATTTCAAATCAATAAACCTTGATTAGACTTTAAATAAAATAATCTTTAAAGTCAAAAGATGGGCTTGAAACCTTTAAATAATTAATTATTTTTGTATTAATTAATTGCTAAATGTCTTTTGGCTCAAGAGTTGTGTCTTCTCACTAAGGTATTATAAATACCTGTAAAGATCTTTCAATTGAAGGATATACAAAAAAAAACGTTTCTCTATTCTATTATTGAGAGAATTTTAGAGTTTGCTATCTGAAATTCTGTTTGACTTTGTTAATCCTAGAGGAATTTGCCATAAACCTATCAGCAACATAGTAGGGGCATAATTTTTTTAAGAACAGTGAATACACGATCAAAGCTTTCTAATTTGGTGAAATTCTATTTTGCTAACAGGTGGTGTTGGCGGCAATGGCGATGGGGGTGGAGGTGGCGGTGGCGGTGGCGGTGGTGATGGTGGTGGGGGTGGAGGTGGAGGTGGCAACGGTGATGGTGGTGGCGGCTGCGGCGGCGATGACGATGGTTGTGGAGGTGGAGGTGGAGGTGGAGGTGGAGGTGGTGGTGGCCGCGGTGGCGGTGGTGGGGGTGGCAGTGGTGGTGGTGGTGGTAGAGGTAATGATAGAGTGGTTCAAAATAATATTTTTTTTAAAAGTACTTATGAGAAATAATTCCTAAAAACACTTTTAAAAAATTACGCCAAACACACTTTTAGGGACTTATTTTTTTTCTGTTAAATTTAAAATTTTAATATTAACCGTTAGATTAATTTTAAAGTAAAATTTAAAGCGATCTCAATCGCGAATAGTAAAAGTCATTTTATTTATCTTTTGAAATTTGTAAGTTACTTTATTATATAGATGATCAATTTTAGAATGGTGTGAGCAATATAAAAATTATTACTTTCAAAGATTGAGTTATAAGCAGGAAGAAAAAAATTATAATTGGTTTAGGGAGTCCCATAATTAATTATGGACTTTCTCTCGATCCGTTGTAAGTTGTAACTTTAAATTTTATTTTATTTTATATATATATATATATATATATATATATATATATATATATAT